CCTCCTATTCAGCGGTCGTCTGAAACCGTCTTGAAGGCTTGCGGGGCCGAGGACGTGGACTCGTCTGTGGGCCTTTGTCGGGCCTCGTGGCGCCTTCGATCAGCAGCGGCCGTGGGAATCTCACTGCGGGTCTCTTGGGCGCCCTTGGGGCTGTGCAAGTCCCTCTTGGGAACCATTGGGGCTTCTCTCGCGTCAGCATGGGGGTCTTCGGGAGAATTGAGGTGTAGCCAGAACCCCGGGGCGATCATGGAGCATATCGAGGGGTGGAAACCTACTGGAGACGAAAAGAAGTGAGTGCGAGCATTATTGAACGAACATTGATCTTCCCAGCGTTTATGTGGTGTTGCGTCCTTGTTGTCTTCCCGGAGCGCCGCGCGTGCCTTGCCTCATCCTTCCCCGCTTCCTCCTTTTCTCCCTCCTCATCCTTCTCCTACTCGTCCTCTGTTCTTCCTTCCTGCTCTTCTTTTTAAAATGCGTTGGTCCGCCGTTTCTAGAACACTCCTCGTTCCGAACCCCACGTTTGGCTCAGTGGACGCGGGCGCATGCCGCCGTTGATATCTGTCGGCGCACCTTGCGCCCCCGCCACGGGGGCTCCACCTGCGGTGCCAGAGATTTACGTTCGCGCGCAACGCCTCGCAGATTTCGGCGCGCCCCTCGCGTGGCCTGCCTCCTCCCGGCCCCGCGCCTGGCACGGGCTCCACCTGCGGTTCAGTCTGCTCGGGCGGAGGCGGCTCCCCATTCACTTTGGCTTAAGTCGAGCGTGTCCCTCTACAGGGAAAACAGTAACAGTGAAATATAGTAAACACATAGTCAGCGGACCCTCCTTTTGTTTTCTCCTTCTTCTCCTTCTTCTTCTCTCCATTGTATAGATGTGTCTGTTTATGTGTGTGTCTGTTTATGTGTGTGTATGTATGTATGTATGTATGTGTGTGTATGTATGTAGGCATGTACGTGTGTGTATGTATGTATGCATGTATGTATGTATGTATGTATGTATGTATGTATGTATGTATGTATGTATGCTTGTATATATGTATACATATACACATGTTTGTAGGTATACGTGTATATGCATATATATATATATATATATGTATATATATCTTGTCGTCGAAAATCCCCATGTAGGGGGACGCGCCCGACTTAAATCTTGGCACGCCCCTCCCCTCCTGCGTGTCCTCACAAAGGGGTCTCTATTTGCGGCTTTGGCAGGCGTGGGCGCATGCCGCCCGCGCCTGCGGTTCCAGAGGGTGAGCGCGCGTGCCACCTGCTGGTCGTTTGAGCACTCCCTTTGCAGGCAGGCCTCTCTCTCCCTTTCTCTCTCTCTCTCTCTTTTTCTTTTTCTTTCTCTTTCTCTTTCTCTTTCTCTTTCTCTTTCTCTTTCTCTTTCTCTCTTTCTCTCTTTCTCTCTTTCTTTCTTTCTCTCTTTTTCTCTTTCTGTCTTTCTCTCTTTCTCTTTCTCTCTCTCTCTCTCTGTCTCTCTCTCTCTCTCTCTTTTTACCTAACAGCTTTTGCTGATAGGTTTCTAGTGGTCTCAAAAGAGAGCAGCAGATGACTCCACAGGTGGGTCGGGGCGGGACCCGGACAGGCTGCCGCCGCGGCTGCCGCCGAAGCCGAAATCGCTTAGGACATCCTCGCAAAATCGCTCTTGGTGCTCCCAGAACTCCATTCCCGCGCCACATTTTGGATGCCCAGAGCCAACTTTAGGCCACTTCGTGCTCTTCGACTTCCCAGAACTCCATTCCCGGGCCACATTTTGGATGCCCGGAGCCAGCTGTAGGCCACTTCGTGCTCTTCGATTTCCCAAAACTCCATTCCCGGGCCACATTTTGGATGCCTGGAGCCAACTGTAGGCCACTTCGTGCTCTTCGACTTCCCAGAACTCCATTCCTGGGCATGATTTTGAATGCCCGGAGCCAACTGTAGGCCACTTCGTGTTCTTCTAGTTCCCAGAACTCCATCCTGGGCCACATTTTGAAAGCTGAGGCAGGCTGATGCTGCGGCCGAGGCAGGCTGAGGCTGAGGCAGGCTGAGGCTGAGGCCGAGGCTGAAGGCAGACTGAGGCTGAGGCTGAAGCAGACTGAGGCTGAGGCTGAGGCAGGCTGAGGCTGAGGCTGAGCAGGCTGATGCTGAGGCAGGCTGAGGCTGAGGCTGAGGCTGATGCAGGCTGAGGCTGAGGCAGGCTGAGGCTGAGGCCGAGGCTGAAGGCAGACTGAGGCTGAGGCTGAAGCAGGCTGAGGCTGAGGCTGAGGCAGGCTGAGGCTGAGGCAGGCTGAGGCTGAGGCTGAGGCAGGCTGAGGCTGAGGCTGTGACTGCGACTGCCGTTGCCGCTGCGACTGTCATCGCGAATGCGACTACGACTGCGAGAACAGCAGAATTCTACAACTGGATTTTCATTACCTAACAGCGAAGACTGATAGGTTTCTACAAGATTCAAAAGAGAGCAGCAGATGACCGACAGGGGGGTCTGGGCGGGTGCAAGACAGGGTGCCGCAGAAGTCGTTTTAAGCCAACAGTCACACACTTCGTGCTCTTCGACCTCCCAGAACTCCATTCCCGGGCCACATTCTGAATGCCCGGAGCCAACTGTAGGCCACTTCGTGCTCTTCGAGTTCCCAGAACTCCATTCCCGGGCCACATTTTGAATGCCCGGAGCCAACTGTAGGCCACTTCGTGGTCTTCGAGTCCCCAGAACTCCATTCCCGGGCCACATTTTGAATGCCCGGAGCCAACTGTAGGCCACTTCGTGCTCTTCGAGTTCCCAGAACTCCATTCCCGGGCCACATTTTGAATGCCCGGAGCCAACTGTAGGCCACTTCGTGCTCTTCGATTCCCCAGAACTCCATTCCCGGGCCACATTTTGGATGCCTGGAGCCAACTGTAGGCCACTTCGTGCTCTTCAAGTTCCCAGAACTCCATTCCTGGGCATGATTTTGAATGCCCGGAGCCAACTGTAGGCCACTTCGTGTTTTTCTAGTTCCCAGAACTCCATTCCTGGGCCACATTTTGAATGCTGAGGCAGGCTGATGCTGCGGCCGAGGCAGGCTGAGGCTGAGGCAGGCTGAGGCTGAGGCCGAGGCTGAAGGCAGACTGAGGCTGAGGCTGAAGCAGGCTGAGGCTGAGGCTGAGGCAGGCTGAGGCTGAGGCAGGCTGAGGCTGAGGCTGAGGCAGGCTGAGGCTGAGGCTGGGCTGAGGCTGAGGCAGGCTGAGGTGAGGCTGAAGGCAGACTGAGGCTGAGGCTGAAGCAGGCTGAGGCTGAGGCTGAGGCAGGCTGAGGCTGAGGCAGGCTGAGGCAGGCTGAGGCTGAGGCTGTGACTGCGACTGCCGTTGCCGCTGCGACTGTCATCGCGAATGCGACTACGACTGCGAGAACAGCAGAATTCTACACTTGGATTTTCATCTGAATCTTAAGGGGAATGCTTTCAGATATGCTTCTACACATCGCTGTTAGGTTGCTTTGCCGGGATAATTTGAATCTTAAGGGGAATGCTTCTACACATCGCTGTTAGGTTGCTTTGCCGGGATAACTACCTAACAGCTCTTGCTGATAGGTTTCTAGTGGTCTCAAAAGAAAGCAGCAGATGACTCCACAGGGGGGTCGGGGCGGGACCCGGACAGGCTGCCGCCGCGGCTGCCGCCGAAGCTTAAATCGCTTGGGACATCCTCGCAAAATCGCTCTTGGTGCTCCCAGAACTCCATTCCCGGGCCACATTTTGGATGCCCGGAGCCAACTGTAGGCCACTTCGTGCTCTTCGACTTCCCAGAACTCCATTCCCGGGCCACATTTTGGATGCCCGGAGCCAACCTGTAGGCCACTTCGTGCTCTTCGACTTCCCAGAACTCCATTCCCGGGCCACATTTTGGATGCCCGGAGCCAACTGTAGGCCACTTCGTGCTCTTCAAGTTCCCAGAACTCCATTCCTGGGCATGATTTTGAATGCCCGGAGCCAACTGTAGGCCACTTCGTGTTTTTCTAGTTCCCAGAACTCCATTCCTGGGCCACATTTTGAATGCTGAGGCAGGCTGATGCTGCGGCCGAGGCAGGCTGAGGCTGAGGCAGGCTGAGGCTGAGGCCGAGGCTGAAGGCAGACTGAGGCTGAGGCTGAAGCAGACTGAGGCTGAGGCTGAGGCAGGCTGAGGCTGAGGCTGAAGCAGGGTGATGCTGAGGCAGGCTGAGGCTGAGGCTGAGGCTTATGAGGCAGGCTGAGGCTGAGGCCGAGGCTGAAGGCAGACCGAGGCTGAGGCTGAAGCAGGCTGAGGCTGAGGCTGAGGCTGAGGCCGAGGCAGGCTGAGGCTGAGGCTGAGGCAGGCTGAGGCTGAGGCTGTGACTGCGACTGCCGTTGCCGCTGCGACTGTCATCGCGAATGCGACTACGACTGCGAGAACAGCAGAATTCTACAATTGGATTTTCATTTGAATCTTAAGGGGAATGCTTTCAGATATGCTTCTACACATCGCTGTTCGGTTGCTTTGCCGGGCTAATGTTTTCCCGTGCCCCCCCCCTTTGGCTCATGCATTTGGCTCGTGCCGCCCTGGCTCGAGGTGGGCCGAGCCGGCTGCGCGCCTGGGGCCGGAGGTTCCCCGACCTGTGTTTCGCCTGGTGGGGGCCAGGAAGACGCGCGTTGTCTTGGCCTCCCCCCCCCCGCCCGCGCTGTGTCGCCGCGCGCGGCCTGCCGGCGGCGCCGCCGCCTGGCCTGCCGCTGCACTCGGCTGCCGCCGTCGTCGCCGCCGCCGCGGCGACCGGCCGCTCGGCCAGGGCCGCCGCCGCGGCCGCCGCCGAAGCTGCCGCCGGGGCCGCCGCCGCGCGGCGGCCGGCCGCTTGTCGGAGGCCGCCGCCGTCGTGGCCCGCGCGGCCGCCTGGGGCCGGCCGCCGTGAGCGCCGCCGCCGCGGCCGCCGGCGCCGCTGCCGCCGCTGCGGCCGCGGCCGCGGGCGCGGCCAACCCGCCCGTGGGCGGGCCGCGCGACGCGGCCAGCTCGGCCGCGGCATCGGAGTCGGAGCAGCTGATTGAACATATCTAGGAAGTGCAGTTCAAGCTGTGGGAATACAGCGGCAGCGCGAGTCTGCCAGCTCCGCCGCGGCCACTGAACTACAGCAGCTGAAGCTGGCGATGTCGGAGCTGCAGACTCAGGTTCTCCGCGTGGCGCACGGTGGTGGTGGTGGTGACGGAGGGCGACGTGGCCAGGCAGGTCGCGGAGGCACCGAGGATAGAGCGAGATGGGCCTGCAACATTACGTGGGCTTCTGGTATCCCGCTGGGTTCGCAGCGGCTGGCAGCGCGGAGGGTCTCGCCCGCCGACGCCAGACAGAGTCGAAGCACGGCCTTGTGAGCACGCTGGCGAGTACGGGCTACATCACCCCAGAGATCACTGGCATGTTGCCGGGGGTCCTGTCGCCGTCCAAGGGCCTCGCGGTCGAGGACATCCTGAACGGCCTCGGCGCCCTCTCCAGGATTCCCGCGACGGGCTGTGGGCAGATCGTGGCTTTTTGTGCGTTCCGCGAGCTGTTCCAGGACCAGTCTGCTGGCGCCGATGCCACGGCGGGCGACTTCGGCTGGAAGGTGCTGACGTCCAGCGCCGCCGCCGCCGAGCGGTCGGAGCTGGCGGCTGAGATCGCCATCGTTCCCTCGGCCATCATTGCGATTATCGGCATGTTCGTCGACATGTTTTCGATATTATCGAATCTCCAATCAACGCCCCGCGACGACGACAGACGACCATCCGGAGGATTACATGATCTGGGACCTTGTGTCCTACCCGTGCCCATGGATACCTCTCCCGTCGCGGGGCCAAGAATTCAGAATTTCGAAGCGGATCCTGCCGTGGCGACCAGGGCGACAGACGGCCATCCGGAGGATCCTGCCACTGTTGAAATGAGGCCCGCGAGGCCCGAAGGGAACGTGGTTTCGATATTATCGAGTCTCCAATCAACGCCCTGTGACGACGACAGACGACCATCCGGAGGGTTACATGATCTGGGACCTTGTGTCCCACCTGTACCCATCGGACTCTCTCCTGTCACGGGGCCAGGAATTCAGAATTTCGAAGCGGATCCTGCCGTGGTGACCAGGGCGACAGACGACCATCCGGAGGATCCTGCCACCGCTGCAAACCGCGGTGTCTCGAGCCCCAACCCCTTCCCCGACGACCGCCTTGAGCACGGACCACCTCGACGCCTAGTGACGACGACAGACGACCATCTGGAGGGCAAACAAGGAAGACGTGACGCTTATCCCCACACCGGGAACTCCGACCCCGCCACGAGACCGCACTCTGGACCGGACCGTAGTGACGTCGACGGACCGTCTGGACAGAACCGCCGCTCAGCTCACCTGGCGCGGCGATCCTGAGCCATTACGCCACAGCAGAAGCACCGCGCCCACTCGGCGACCCAGCAGAACCCTCAGGGCAGAATGACTTCTCCCCAATGGACGTGGACGGCCCCCCCCCTCGGCCCACCCAGCCCGACAGTGCCTCGCAGCAGTGGCCTCAGTGGGCCAACCGCTGAGGCCAGGGAGGCGACCAGCACTCGAGGAGACCTCGAACTGCCGATCGACGGGGGGCCCAGGGCAGGTAGGAATGCCCACAGCGAGCCCGTGTCCGCAGCCGTAGCCGAAGTCGGGGGCTGCCACGGCCGTCTGCCGCCGCATCCCAGTGCACGAGCCAGCAGACCTCTTCTAGAGAAGCTGGGCCCGGTGCGAACAACGGACCAGCTTTGCAGAGGCAGGACAACGAGGCCATCCGCCAGCTTGTCGACAGAAAACCCTTTCGCGTCCATTCGCCCTTCCTCCCCTGGCTGCGCGGCTGCCCGAGCGGATAGCGAGCCGCAGCCCCTCTCCGAAGCCAGGGCCTCGTCGGGGGTGGCGACGGACGCCCCGAAAGGATCGGTGCCCGACAACGCGCCTGCGGCCAGAGCTACCCGCAGCATCCCCACATCGGGCTATCGCCTCGCGGGTACTGATGGGGGCGCGCCCACGAGCGAGTGCAGGCACAGGTCCGTCGGCGAACGCCATCGAGAGGGGCCTGCCCCCGCGCGCTGCAGGGCGGCGCCCCTCTCTGCCCCAGCCGCCGCAGGCGATCTGGCCCCTGCCTGGAGGCCAACCGCGCGGCCCGCCCCGACACGCATGGCCTCGCCAGGCGTTCCCAGCCGAGCAGCCGCCGTGCCGCGCGAAGCCATAGGCGACTGGCGGCGGGCCCAGCCAGGCGGGGTTGTCGCAGAGTAGCAAGCGAGGACAGCATGAGGAGCAGGATCCTGACGAGCCCCACGATAAGGATGTGGCTGCCGCCCGCGGGGAGGGTACGGAAGCGGCGCCGGCGCAGGAATCGGAGCAGGGGCGCGAGCTGGCAACCGCCCACTGCCACTCTCCCATGGCCGGCTCCCAACACCCTGGCCCATTCCTTTCTGGCAGCGGCGCGGGCTCGGGCACCGAAGAACAGCGACGGCCAGGCCGCAACGGTCCTCCGAAGCGTTTGCCTGGCAACGGGTGGAGGCCCGGCCTTGCCCTGGCAACTGGCGGCTTCCCTGTTTCCCCTCCGCCCCTGAGTCGAAACTCGGCCCCGTGGCGACGCCGACTCCGCTGGCTGGCCTGGCGCGCGGCAAACGACGAGCGGCGGGCGCAGCAGCAGCAGCGGCAGAAGCAGAAGCAGCAGCAGCAGCAGCAGCCGGTTCAAGGACCCCCCGCCGACTAGTCCGCCAGGGGAAACGAGGCCCGCCGCGCGCCGAGGGCCCGAACCCTGGGACCCCGACACGGGACAGCAGTTGTATAGAACCAAGATCAGCTGTTTCAGTGGGGTCTCCCCGGGAGACCCCTGGCGAGACGAGAAAGCGGCTCCAATCCACCCTTGGTGCGATGTTCACAGGCGCCTGGCACGCGTTCGCCAAGCAGCGCGGCAAGGGTGCACTCGACCCACGACGACACGACCAGCAAACCTGCGTCAGTTACCTGCACTCCCTCCGCAACCACAACTCCGACGTGAGGGCCATGAGCGGCGCGCTGGACCTCGGCGTCAACTGGGCCCAGTTGCAGCAGCGGTTCCCGAGCCGCAGAGAAGTCGCGGGCAAGGGGCGCCAGGCACCCCCCTGCGGCGAGGCGCGAGGAGCGGACCAGGGCGACGGGCGCGAAGAGGACCAGGCTCGCAGCTCCGGGTACCACGACGCCTGGACTGGAAAGCGCCCGCGGCGCTGACCAACCGCCGACCTGACCCCCTCGCCCTACGGCAGCACGACACAACCGTATCCGCACTCCCACCACCTGTGCCCCCTCCCCCCCACCTGACCCCGTCTTTCCCGTCTCCTCCTCTCCCCCCCTCCCGTATTCAAGGATCTGGGACTTGGTGTCCCACCTGTGCCCATCTGCGATGCGGACTGGAGCATCGACGACTGGCGTGGCACGCCCTGGCACTGGGACCTTGTGTCCTACCTGTGCCCATATGGGCTTGTCCCCCACGTGGGCGCCCGCGGTGCAGGCTGACGCGACTTCGGCTGGCGCGGGATGCCGGCCCCTCTCCTCTCTGCTCGCTTCCCCCCCCCCGCTCGCTTCCCCCCCTCCCATGGCGGCAGCGCCCGGCAGAGCGCGGCTTCGGCCCGGTGCTGGGCACAGCGCCATGCCGCCTCGGCGGCCCCGCTTGCCTTGGCGCTGCGCGGCTCAGGCCCGGCCCTCGGCCGCGCGGACGTCAGCGCATCGTGTGTGGCACCTGCCCGTCTTCACGCGCTGACTGTGCAGGTCAGGTTTCCTCCCTGCACTCCACCGACATCCAGTCGGACACGGACGGCCCTGCTCTGGCCGTGCCTCTTGCTGGCTGCTCCCTGGACGTGGATTGGACTACCACCCTGGTCCGCTTCCGACCACCGGGTGGCGCAACGCTGCGCATCGACTTCGTGGTCCTCTTCTTTTCCTCGCCCCCCCTCACCATCTGGTGGCGCAACGTTGCTCATCGCCTTCCTGGTGGACTCTTTCCCCTTGACGTCGACCTGGTCGCGTGCTACCTCACGCAGCACTTGAGGATGGTGTTTACGAAGCGCCGTTGACGGCAACGCCACACCGCTCACCCTCCGGATCTTCGCCTCTGGCTCCTGTCAAGGCGGTCCTTTTCCTGTGCAAGCTCCTCGGCGCCGCCTGCGCCCCGGCCCGCCCTCCGGCCGCCTGAGGCCCCGCCCGCCTGTGCTCTGTTCCCCAAGTAGAGCTGTGCGTAGCCCGCCTAGCCTTTAACTGGAAGAGGTTCGCTCTCGCCCCGCATGCCACAACAGTTTGTTCTTTTTTGTGCTATATATGTCTATATATAATATCTATATATAGATATATAGATATATATATATATATATATTATATATATATATATATATATATTATACATATATATAATCAATGGGGGTCGTCGACGGCTGCAAAGATCAGGAGGGGAAAAAACACACAGACACAATTATTCGTCGATTCCCCAGAAAATATGGGAAAATATGGGAAGTGGGGGGAAGACAAAAAAACCCAGAAAATATGGGAAAATATTGGGAATCCTTTTATTTGTGTGTACTTATTTGTGTGTCGCAGTTTCCCTTCAAAAAATCGAGGATTATGGAGCATCGTCCAATGAATTTCCTCCCCATCACGCCCGGGGGCCTCAACGCGCGCGAAAGCACACCCTGCAGTTATCTAGGATTCCTTCCCAAAGATTCTGGTCCACCTGGCTGTGGGTTTTGGGGGCATGTGCTCGTCGTTGGAAGCTGGGCTACTCGATAGTAGCTGTCAGCCAGCAGTGTGTATGTAGTCTGCAGTTGCGGGCAATTTGTCAGCAAACCCTGGCTGGCAGTCATGAGTGCGTTTTTTCCGGCGGCATTTTTGTTTGTTGCACTTAGTCGCGAGTCGATCGTAGTAAGTAGGTGGTAAGAGTTTGTGCGTAGTAGCAGAGCAATTATCTTGTAGTGTCCTTTTACCAGCAGTTGTTTGTAGGACTGATGTGTCGGTAGCTGGTAGTGATTTGCTAGTTGACAGTAGTAGCCTTCAGCTCATAATTGATATTGTGTTCGTGGCTCGTTGCGCAATTTGTGATTTGCCAACTGAGGAACGTACATCTTTAAGAGAACATTCAGTACGGAGCTTACACCACTCTGTATGCACCAGTTGTCAAGTAGGGGGCAGTAGTGAATCGTTCTGGGCTGGCGGCTAGCAGTCGTCATATTACAATTGTTCATTGGTTATCATTTTCGTTTCCCTGCGCCCCCCAACCCATCATCCCCTTAACGAAGGCAGTCGGTTAGTGATAAGCATCTGGTCGGGCGGATAAACGGATAGTGCATTGTATCTGGCAGTTCGTATTTTGTATGTGGGCCACATCCGCTAGGTGGGCAGCTTTACTGCACAGTCAGGAAGTGGAAACAAACACCTATCGGATATAATCTCTAACAGCCAGATCGTTTCGAGAGGTATGATCGTCCGGAGTTCGGACGTAGCTTTTCCTGCTATCAGCGCGTAGTTCGTCGTTGGTTTTCTGTAGGTCGCCCGGTGTGGCGTTGGCAAGGAGCAGTGACCTGTCTTTCCCAGGTGCCGGGCGTGGCGCCGCTTCCCTTCCGGCGCGGGGCGCGGCCCCCCACTTCGGCGCAGCTCGGTGCCGTGCGGGGTCTCTCCGCTTTTGGCTTGGCTTTGGGAGGGGGGCCAGCTGCCACAGTCCTGACGGACAGCGGGAGCCAGCGTCCTCCGTCGCCCCCGTAGGTACCCGTGGTGCGGCCTCACGGTGTCGGGGGCATTGCGCGTATGGCTGCGTGTCTGTTTGGTGCTTGCAGCTGCTTGGCCACGTGTGCTGACAGTATCTTCGGTTGCAGATTGTTTCTCCAGCGGGCGTGCCCCGCGAGTGTCATGCGCGTGCGCTTGCGTGCGTCCAGGCTATTCGAGATTTCCTGCAAGCTGGGCCAGCGCGCTGTCGCCACAGTGGCGAGGTTCCCGCCGCCGCCATTGGATTCGCGATGCCTTTCTAGTCGCGAAGGGGTACACCCACAGGTGTGTCCATCAGCCGTCATGTGTCGCCTGTTGGAGGTTCCACGGATCCCTCGATTGCCCTCCTTTCTTTTCGCCTCTCGGTTCGCCGCTTCGTCATCCTTCGCCTTGCCTCTCCGTCAATCCTTCCCTCCCCTTGCGTCTTTAGTTTACTACTGCCAGGGCAAGTCATACATGCGACATCTGGTCTTGCCAGTTGGGTCGCGGCCAGCGCTTACGATGACATGTGCACCCTCCGTTTCTGTCGTTTTCGCCCTTCCTGTCTCCTTCTTCTCTCCACTTCTCATCCTCCCTCCCCTCGGAAATAAGATGCACTGTGTTTGCCGACTCCGGGGCGTGCCTTCAAGCCTTCCGATCTCGGGGCGCGCCCGGGAACGAGTGTTATGCTTTCTCTTCTTTTCATGCCAGGGCTTCTTTGCATATTTCCTTCTCCGGAATACTTATGTGTGTTGTTTCGCGTACTGCTGTTGCGCTGTGCTCCCTGGTTCCTTTGGCAAGCAAGTTCTCCTCCGTACACGTGCGGACGCACATCTGCTCTGTATTGCTTGTGCGTGGGTGGTGCGTCGTCGCGCCGTGAGCTGCGAGGGCATTTGTGCTTCGCTGATGCTGCGCTCATCGCCAGCGCGCGCACTGACGGACGATAGATTATTGAATCATGTGTGGGCCTGGTGCTCCATCTGTGTTGCCTTCGCGATATGTGCTGATCGCCCAGCGTAGTTCACTGCTCTTCGCTCGCGCGCTCGATTGCAGCGATTGTGGCATCCTGCCGTGTCGTAAGGCGGGTTGCCGTCTCCCACTCCTCCTTCCCTCTGGTCTGGCGGGGGTGCTGCTTCGGCCCCTCGCTTCTATCCCTCCCCCAGCCTCCCCTTTACAGTTACTCTGTACCACTGCACATTACGAATGCTACTCTCCCCTTTCCCCCGACCCTGCCTGGAAGATGCCCAGCCCTCGCCGCGTATGGTTTTCGCAGGATTTCGACATATTGTCTTCCTGTCGTGTCTTTTTCCATTCAGATCGTTTCGGGGCCTTCAGAAAGGTGCTCCGCTTGAGCGCTGGTCTCATTTCCGCGCCTCTGGTCCTTCAACATCGTGCTTCTCGCTGCAGCGCTGGGCTCGTTTCCACGTGTTCGGTCATTCCGAATGGTGTTCGCCCTGCAGCACCCCTCATCTTTAAATCGCCGGTCCTGCATCCTGGTTTTCCAGCTGTACCGTTCATGCAACCATAGTATGAAATTGAATGTTGTGCCGCTATAGTGCGATTCCATCAGTACCCTGCCCTGCACTGCAATACTCTGCTATGCAACGCTGGGCTACGCAGTGCCAAGCCATGCAAGGGCATTCGATGCAATGCTGTATTGTATGCCGCTGTGCGATGCCAATCCTTGCGCTGCGATGCTATGATATGCAATGTTTGACTTCCCAATGCCATGCCATGCCATGCGTCGCGTATCATTTGGTGTTCGTTGTCTTCTTCGACAAACGACTGTCCGAATAGAGAGGGGCTTCACGCAATGGTAAGGGATGGGAGGGACTGGTAAGACGTCAGATGTATGACGCGAGCGCACCTAGCTTGTCCTATCCATTCGCTTGCTTCCCTCCCCCAACTCCGTCCTTGTCGTCAGGCCGTCGTCATTGCGACCGCTGTCGTCGGGCCGTCGTCCGTGCGACCGTCGTCGTGGTCGTCGTTACCGTCGTGGTCGTCGTGGTCTTGGTCGTTGTCGTCGTCGCCGTGGTCGTCGTAGGCGTCGTGGGCGTGGTCTCCAACGCCGTCGTCGTCGTCGTCGTCGCCGTCGTCGTCGTCGTCGTCGTCGTCGTCGTCGTCGTCGTCGTCGTCGTCGTCGTCGACGTCTTCGCGGTTACGCTGGTTTGCCCATGGGTTGGTCGTGTTTTGTTGTTTTTTGTCGTTCAGGGCCGTGCTCTGAGCTGCCAGCTATGCGCATGCTTCAGCGGCAAGAGGGTGTCAGATTCGGTGTTTTAGCTTTGCAATGGTGTGCCCGTGGGGGGTGGCATTTCGTGGCGCTGTAGTGGGGGAGGGGTAGCGTCGCATGTTGCTTCTTAGTGGTTTCAGTTTGCCAGTTTCGCTCTCTGCTCTTGCCCTCCCGTCCCGCCTGATCGTGCCAATGCTACGCTGTCGCGGCTTCAGCCGCGACCCGCTTCAGGCGGTCCCGAAGGGTCTTCGCGCGAGGGGCCGATGCAGCCGCGAGCGCCTGCAGCCGCCGCTGATCTTCTCCTTGGTGAGCGTCGGCCATGGCAGCGGTGGGGCCCACTGCCACAGCTCGCCCTGCTCGCACGCGCTGAATCTGGCAATGCTGCGGGTCGCTTCGGGCTCCAGCTTCGCCGCCCGCGGATCGCTGGGCATCTTCAGGTGCCCGTTGCCAACGCTCACATTTCTCACGCATCGCTTCCGGCTACAGCTTTGCGCTTCGAATCTCGGTTGGTAGCGAAAGGCACCACTGTTTGCCTTGCTCGCGTGTGCTGGTGCCAGCGCTCGCAGATCGTTTCGGGCTCCAGCAGCCAAGCCCTCCTTGGGCTGAGCAGCGATGGAGCCTGATGCCGCGTCTCTCCCTACCGCTCGCTCTGATTCTGGCAATGGCGGGTTGCTGTCGTATTTATGGCTGCTTCTCGTTTTCTTTCCCCGCAGCCTCCGTGACATGCGCGCCTGGCCTCTGGTCGCTTTGACTTTCAGACATGACTGGACGCAGGTCTGAACCGTGAAGCTCACGAGGATAGGGCGGTGGTGTTTCACACCCTTCCCTTCCTGCCGTTGCTGCAGCAAAGCGGCGCGACACAGAACTTCAGGGGGAGGGATGGAGGGAGAGAAGGAAAGGGGGAGGGAGGGAGGGAGGTGCGGGATGCTGGTGTGCTGGGTTGTTGAAGGAGGGAGGGAGGGAGGGAAGGAGGGAAAGAGGGACGGAGGGAAGGAGAGAGGGGAGGCAGGGGAAGGGAATGAGGGTGGGAAGGAGGGGAGGAGGGAAGGAGGGAATGAGGGAAGGAGGGAAAGGTAGAAGGAGGGAAGGAGGGAAGGAGGGATGGAAAGGGAGGAAGGAAGGGGAGGAGGGGAAGGGAGGGAGGGAGGGAGGGAGGGAGGGAGGGAGGGAGGGAGGGACGGGTGGGAGGGAACGAGGCGCGATGCAGGGACACCGCGGTGGGCCAGCCCCCCCCTCGTCCCTACCCCTCCCTTCTCCCACCTTTTTCTGTTTGCGGGCGCTTGCCAGGGTCCACGGCCGTCGCGCCGTCCAGTTTGCGCTCCAGGTGGCGACCTTTGGCTGCACTTTCCTATTCCCCAACTTGTCGGTGGAGTTGATGCCTCTGGCTTGCGCTGCAGGGGAGAAGGAGGAGGAGGAGGAGGAGGAGGAGGAGAAGGGAGGAGGAGGAGGAGAAGGATCATGAGGAGGAGGAAGAGGAGGAGGAGGAGGAGGAGGAGGAGGTGGAGGCGGAGGCAGGGGCGGAGGCGGAGGAGGAGGATGAGGAGGAGCTGGAAGAGGAGTGGGACAATGAGGAGGAGAAGGAGGAGGACGAGGACGAAAGGAGGAGGAGGAGGAACAGGAGGAGGAACAGGAGGAGGAAGAGAAGGTCTGTAATAGGATTGGGAGGAGGAGGACGAGGAGGAGGAGGAATAAGAGGAGGCTGAGGATGAATCCAAGTCATACGCATACGATGAAATACGACAACCGAGTATAATATTGCAAACACTTGTAAGAGTAATACGGCTAATCGTACTACTACGAGCAGTTATACTATTACGACTCATGTTAATAAGGTGACGGGCAGC